GTTACCGGGGGGGGACGGGGAGGGTTCATGGCCGCCGTCGGTGTCGGCAGCACGCCGGGACCATGAGCAGCTCCGAGGAGGTGTCGTGGATCTCCTGGTTCTGCGGCCTCCGAGGCAACGAGTTCTTCTGTGAGGTGCGAGCGGGGCCACGGCGGGGACAGCCCGGGGAGACCCCGAGAGACCCCCGGGACAGCCCGGGAAGACCCCCAGGGACCCCCGGGACAGCCCCAGAGACCCCCCAGGGACCCCCGGGACAGCCCCAGGGACCCTCGGGACCCCCTCAGAGACCCCCGGGACAGCCCCAGGGACCCCCGGGACACCCCCAGGGAGCCCCAGAGACCCCGGGACAGCCCCAGAGACCCCCCAGGGACCCCCGGGACAGCCCCAGAGACCCCCGGGACATCCCCAGAGCCCCCGGGACACCCCTGGGATACCCCCAGGATACCCACAGAGCCCCCCAGGACCCCCTGGGACACTCGAGATCCCCCCCAGAGACCCCTGGGATACCCCCAGAGATCCCCGGGACAGCCCCAGACTCCCCTGGGACAGTCCCAGAGACCCCCCGGGATACCCCCAGAGACCCCCCGGGACACCCCCAGACCCCCATGGGACACCCCCAGAGCCCCCCAGGACCCTCCAGGACATCCCCAGAGCCCCCCAGGACCCCCCAGCCCCCGTTTGGTGCGCAGGTGGACGAGGATTACATCCAGGACAAGTTCAACCTGACGGGGCTGAACGAGCAGGTGCCGCACTACCGCCAGGCACTGGACATGATCCTGGATCTGGAGCCCGGTATGGCCTGGGGGGCTTGGGGGGGGATCAGCAGAGGGGTTTGGGGGGGGTCTGAGGGGGCTTGGGGCGGTCGGGAGGGGTCAGGAATGGGGGGGGGGGGGGTGTGGGGGGGCGGGGGAGGATTTGTGGGGGTTTGGGGGAGATTTATGGGGGACTTTGGGGGGTCTGAGGGGGTTTGGGGGGATCTGGGGGGTTCTGAGGCTTTCTGGGGGTCTGGAGGGGTCCCAGGGGCTCGGGGGGTCCGGGGGTCTGGGGAGGGGTCCGGGGGTAGCGCAGGGGTTTGGGTTTGGGTCGGGGGACCCCCGGGGGTTCCGGGGTTTGGGGTGAGGAGACCCCCGGGGTTCGGGGTTCGGATACCCCCGGCTTTGGGGGTGCTGGCGGTTCGGGGACCCCCGGGTTTGCGGTTTCAGGGTTTGGGTGCCCCCGGGTTCGGGGTTCAGGTACCCGGGGTTTGGGGGTTTTGGGGTTCGGGTACCCCGGGTTTCAGGGTTCGGGTACCCCGGGTTCGGGGGTTTCGGGGTTCAGGTACCCCCGGGTTTGGGGGTTTAGGGTTCGGGTACCCTGGGGTTTCGGGGTTCGGATACCCCTGGGGTTTGGGGTTCAGGTACCCCAGGTTCTGGGGTTTGGGTATCCCCAGGTTTGGGTGGTTCGGGGTTCGGGTACCTCGGGTTTGGGAGTGCTGGTGCTTCTGGGTTCGGGTACCCCCGGGGTTTGGGGTTCAGGTACCCCCGGGGTTTCGGGGTTCGGGTACCCCCGGGTTTTGGGGTTTGGGTACCCCCTGGTTTTGGGGTTTTGGGGTTTGGGTACCCCGGGTTCGGGGGTTTCGGGGTTCGGGTACCCCGGGTTTGGGATTGCTGGGGTTTCGGGTTTCAGGGATTGGGTGCCCCCGGGGTTTGGGGTTCGGGTATCCTCGGGGTTTTGGGGTTTTGGGGTTTGGGTACCCGGGTCTCGGGGGTTTTGGGGTTTGGGTACCCAGGATTTCAGGGTTTGGGTCCCCGGGGTTTCGGGGTTCGGGTCCCCGGGGTTTTGGGGTTCAGGTCCCCGGGGTTTCGGGGTTCGGGTACCTGGGTCTCGGGGGTTTCGGGGTTCGGGTGCCCGTGTCTCGGGCGCCCCGCTGACCCGCTGTGGCGCAGCGCTGCCGCGGGGCGGGAAGCACGCGGGCGCGGCGGCCGGGGGGCTCCTGGCCCTGCACCATTTCTTCGGGGCGCAGGCGCTGTGGGTGGCCCTGCTGAGCGCGCTCTGCGTCCTCACCCTGCTCCTGAGCCGGGCCCGCGCCCACCGCGGCCTCTGCCTCGCCCTGGCCGCCCTCAGCTACCTGCTCATGGGGTGCGGGCACCGCGAGGGACTGGGGGCACTGGGAGAGGGATTGGGGGCACTGGGAGGGACTGGGGGCACTGGGATGGGGTTTGGGGGTGATTTGGGGGTGCTGGGAGGTACTGGGGGCACTGGGAGGACACTGGGAGAGACTGGGAGAGGGACTGGGGGGACTGGGAGAAGGACTGAGCCAATGGGAGGGCACTGGGAGAGGGACTGGGGACACTGGGAGGGGGACTGGGGCCATTGGAAGGGCACTGGGGCCACTGGGAGGGACTGGGAGGGGGTTTGGGGTTATTTGGGGGTGCTGGGAGGCACTGGGAGAGGGGCTGGGGACACTGGGAGGGCACTGGGGGGACTGGGAGGGGGTTTGGGGGTGTTTTGGGAGGGACTGGAAGAGGGACTGGGGTCACTGGGATGAACTGGGAGGGAGATGGGGGTGCTGGGATGAACTGGGAGGGAGATGGGGGCGCTGGGATGAACTGGGAGTGACTGGGGGTGCTGGGATGAACTGGGAGGGAGATGAGGGCACTGGGATGAACTGGGAGGGACTGGGGGTGCTGGGATGAACTGGGAGGGAGATGGGGGCACTGGGATGAACTGGGAGGGAGATGGGGGCACTGGGATGAACTGGGAGTGACTGGGAGCCCCCCCAGGGAGCTGCACATGGTGGACACGGTCACGTGGCACAAGATGCGAGGTGAGACCCCCGACCCCCCCCCAGGACCCCCAAATCACCCCAGGACACCCCGACCCCTCCCTCGGGAGCCCCAGATCCCCCTGGGACCCCTAAATCCCCCCTGGGACCCCCGACCCACCCCCCCCACACACCCCGTGTCAGGGTTCCCAATATTCCAGGTTTCGGGGTGCACTGATTTGCCAGTTTTGGGGTCCCCCCAATTTCGGGGTTCCTGGTGTCGGGGTTCCAGGTTTGGGGATCCCCTGACAGTCCCAATTTTGGGGTTCCCATTTTGGGGTTCCCATTTCGAGGTTCCCAGTTTCGGGGTGCCCATTTTGAGGTTCCCAATTCGGGGTTCCCAATTTTGGGGCCCCCTGACCGTTCCCAATTTTGAGGTTCCCAATTTCGGGGTTCCCAATTCGGAGTTCCCAATTTCGGGGTCCCCTGACGGTCCCAATTTCGGGGTTCCCATTTTGGGGTTCCCTGACTGTTCCCAATTTGGGGTTCCCAATTTGCAGTTCCCAATTCGGGGTTCCCAATTTCGGGGTCCCCTGACGGTGCTGGTTTTGGGGTTCCCAATTTCGGGGTTCCCATTTTCGGGGTTCTCAATTCGGGGTTCCCAATTTTGGGGTCCCCTGACGGTCCCAATTTTGGGGTTCCCAATTTCGGGATTCCAAATTTCGGGGCCCCCTGACTGTTCCCAATTTTGAGGTTCCCAATTTCGGGGTTCCCAATTGGGGGTGCCCAATTTGGGGTCCCCTGACCGTTCCCAATTCGGGGTTCCCATTTCGGGGTCCCCTGACCGTTCTCATTTCTGGGTTTCCATTTCAGGGTTCCCAATTCGGGGTCCCCTGACCGTGCCAAATTTTGGGGTTCCCAATCCGGGGTTCCCAATTCGGGATTCCCAATTTCGGGGTCCCCTGGCTGTTCCAAATTTCGGGGTCCCCTGACCATTCCAAATTTCGGGGTCCCCCGATGATTCCCAATTTCAGGGTTCCCAATTTCGGGGTCCCCTGACCATTCCCAATTTCGGGGTCCCCTGACGGTCCCAATTTTGGGGTTCCATTTCGGGGTTTCCTGACCGTTCCCAATTCGGGGTGCCCAATTCAAAGGTTCCCAATTTCAGGGTTCCCTCACAGTTCCCATTTCGGGGTTCCCAATTCGGGGTCCCCTGACCATTCCCAATTCGGGGTTCCCAATTCAGGGTTCCCAATTCGGGGTTCCCAATTTGGGGTTCCCATTTTGGGGTCCCCTGACCATTCCCAATTCGGGGTTCCCATTTCGGGGTGCCCTGACCATTCCCAATTCGGGGTTCCCATTTCGGGGTCCCCTGACCGTTCCCAATTCCGGGTTCCCAATCCGGGGTTCCCAATCCGGGGTTCCCATTTCGGGGTTCCCAATTCGGGGTCCCCAATCCGGGTTCTCATTTCGGGGTCCCCTGACCGTTCCCAATCCGGGATCCCATCTCGGGGTCCCCATTTCGGGGTCCCCAATCCGGGGTCCCCAATTCGGGGTCCCCAATTCAGGGTTCCCAATCCGGGGTTCCCAATTTGGGGTCCCCTGACCGTTCCCAATCCGGGGTCCCATCTCGGGGTCCCCTGACCGTTCCCAATCCGGGGTCCCATCTCGGGGTCCCCTGACCGTTCCCAATTCAGGGTCCCAATTTCGGGGTTCCCAATTCGGGGTCCCCTGACCGTTCCCAATTTGGGGTTCCCAATTCGCGGTTCCCAGTTTCGGGGTTCCCATCTCGGGGTCCCCAATCTGGGGTCCCATCTCGGGGTCCCCTGACCGTTCCCAATTCGGGGTTCCCATTTCGGGGTCCCCAATCCGGGGTCCCATCTCGGGGTCCCCAGTCCGGGGTCCCATTTCGGGGTCCCCTGACCGTTCCCAATCCGGGGTCCCATCTCGGGGTCCCCAATTCGGGGTTCCCAGTCCGGGGTCCCCAATTCGGGGTTCCCAATCCGGGGTCCCATCTCGGGGTCCCCTGACCGTTCCCAATCCGGGGTCCCATCTCGGGGTCCCCGTCCGGGCCGCAGGCGCGCAGATGGTGGTGGCCATGAAGGCCGTGTCGCTGGGCTTTGACCTGGACCGCGGCGCGGGCGGCCCCGAGCCCGGCCCCGCACAGGTGCTGGGCTACCTCTGCTCGCCCGGCTCCGTGGTCTTCGGGCCCTGGGAGCCCTTCGGCGCCTACCTGCGCTCCGTGGAGGGGCCGCCGCTGGTGGGGAACGGGGAATGGGATTGGAAATGGGGTTGGAAACGGGATTGGAAACGGGATTGGAAATGGGATTGGAAACGGGATTGGGGAGGGGGAAAGGGGATTGGAAATGGGATTGGGGAGGGGATTGGGGGAAATTGGATTGGAAATGGGATTGGGGAGGGGAATGGGATTGGGGAGGGGATTGGAAACGGGATTGGAAATGGGATTGGGGAGGGGATTGGAAATGGGATTGGAAATGGGATTGGAAATGGGGTTGGAAATGGGATTGGAAACGGGATTGGAAATGGGATTGGAAATGGGATTGGGGTGGGGGAAATGGGGTTTGGGGTGGGGGAAATGGGATTGGAAATGGGATTGGGGAGGGGATTGGGGGAAATTGGATTGGGGAGGGAAATGGGATTGGGGAGGGGATTGGAAATGGGATTGGGGAGGG